TTAAGATGCTGTCTAGGTTTGTCATTGCTTTTCTCTCAAGAAGCAGGCATCTTTTAATTTCGTGACTGCTGTCACCATCTGCAGTGATCATGGAGCCCAAGAAAGTCAAATCTCTCACTGCCTCCATTTCTTCCCCTTCTATTTGCGAGCAGTACATAGGTTGCACCAAAGAGTTGCAGAGTTCAAGAAGCCTGTATATCATGATGCAGACGTCCCTCTCTATGTGGTCTCTTGTTTCAAATGCTCAGCAGAGCAGAACAGGACCCAGTTATGGGGAAGCAGCTCCCGCACAACAACTAGTAAGTGTGACCTGGGCTTCAGTTCATAAACCAGAGCTGGGGAACCTCCAGATGCTGCTGGACTCTAGCTCCCATCAGCCCCAGACAGCACGGCCAATGGTTAGGAATGATAAGAATTGTAGTCCAGCAACATGTGAAGGGCAGCAAGATTCCCATCCCTAACACAAGCAAAGAGAAGGCACCCAAAAGGCACTAGATGTAAATAAGCCTTTGATAATATATTTACAAATTCTGGAATCGTGCAAGATATAGAAATGGAATAATACTATAGGTAGTCTCTCAATCACTAACTTACTTCCTTTTCTGCACACCTCTTTTCCTTCGCAATTAATGCATTGGAGGAAAATATGCTGGTCTTTCAATATTGGGAGGGGAAATCAATATAAATCTAATTATATTTTCTGTATTCTAGCATTCGCTCACTTTTTGCTGCATGGAAGAGAGCCAATTGCTCCAAGTAGATGCAGATTTGAAACTGTGAAGGGGAAGTTCCCGCTCCTTCTAGCTTCTCATTGTGACGTGTAGGAAAAGGAGGAGGGGGCATATGAGCCTGAGGTTCCTGGTTTGTTACGATTATAATGCTAAGTCATGTTTTAGTGCTGCATTTTGAAGCCAGCCTCTGTCTTAGCATGCAGTCTCTTTATAGCTGCCCCTCCTTGTTTCTTATTGCTCTTCAGACTACATATAGGAAGGTGCAGGGGACATGGCGGCTATGGACCACTGTCACTATATTTAGTCTAGTGGGGCAAGGGGTGGGTGGTGACCCACTTTTTAAAATTTACAAGTCTGTAATAAAATTAATGCAATTAATTCTATTGAACACCAGATACTTTTATTTTATCTGTAGTGATTCCAGCAATGGGAAAAAATTGTTTTTCACGGAGTACT